CCCCCCGGTATATTAAATATAACAGTTGAAAATGCAAGCCATTGCAAAAAGTAGTTGTAAAATTAGGTATGATTACATACAAATTATAATTGTGTTGTGAAACCTATATGATCATCTTCCCTATAGCATTATTAGTCAGTGTACTTGGTAAACCAATTTATTTTTGTGATTTTCCTGAGTCTGGAAAATCAACACATTCTGTAGCAATGAACGTTTCATTAGTGAACGGTAACTATTGCAAAAATTTGCCCCAATGATTATTGTAAATTACTGAACATTAAAATATGATTTACAGTTTAAAAATTAGTATGTGTAGTTATTATTCCTTGATTGCCTAGGACCATATGGGAGTGTTTATTGTGGCTTTGTTTTTATATCCAGCTTATTAGCAGCTGCTATGTATTATTAGTGTAACCCTGCAATAGCTTTATGGAAAATGACATAACATATTACATGCCCATGTGACACATCTCTAGAAGGATGCATGAATATATACATGTACCATCCAAGATTATTAATATTAGTTTGTGTGACCATATCTGAACATATTTCAGTGGTCATTTCATGTCAAATAGAGTTGTATTTAAAAAACAACTGAGCTCCAGGATTTTTGAAGAAAAAAAAATGTACGTGCAACCCAATCTGCCAATATGTACTGCCATCTTACCAAGTCTGATTACAAATATTTATGTACAGCGCAATATGTTTTGTTATCTCTGAGAACCCGCTTGTGTAACATTCAACTACAAGGCTTGTATTTTATGTCCAGAATGATTGAATCAAAAAATTAAATTGATATATATTGTAGGACATTATGTACCAAGTTCAGCCAATACATGTCAGAGAAATTATCCCTTATGCGCAGACAACATCCAAATTAATACTTCTCATCTGAACAAGGACTCACTAAAAGTATTTTTAATTTTTTTTCTGAAAAGCCCACTAACTGATAATTGACTCCTGTGTGCGAAGCTGTTCCATGATTGTTCCACTGATAGCTAAAGAACCACTCGTTGGATTTTGATGAAACTTGGCACATAGATGCTCTGAACTAATGCGCAGATTTGATTAGTTTTGGATAAAAATCTGTGCAATATTAATTACCTAATTTGCATAATGATTAATAAATTTTTGGCTTTTCCTCTACTGATCATCACATTTCAATAAAACTTGGTACATAGATATCATAGGACACTGCACAGACCTGATAGTTTTTAAGGTAATATCAGTACATATTAATTACCTAATTTGCATAGGACTATGCAGAGACCTTATTAGTTTTAGGGTAAATAATTGTGGATATTAATTACCTAATTCGCATAATTAGTTAATTTTTTTCATGATTGTTCCACTGAAATATAAAAAACCATTAATTGGATAAACTTTTACAGAGTATTCATCATCACATTTCAGTGAACCTAGGACTATGCAGAGACCCAATTAGTTTTTGGTAAATATTTATGCTTATTAATCACCTAATTAAAATAATTAATTAACACTGATATCTCAATTACTGATCATCACATTTGAATAAAATTTGATACATAAATGCTCTAGAGCAATAAACAGGCCTGATTAATTTTGGGTTGAAATTTGTTCATATTAATTCTCTAATAATAATTCATAGTTTTTTTGTTCTAATCACATTTCAATGAAACTTGGTACATAGATATTACATTACACAGGCCTTATTAGTTTTACACTCGAATCTGTTCATATCAGTTACCTGATTTACATAATTAGTTTTCAGCTATTCCATCAATATCTCAAGTACAATTAATTTTGAATTAATTTTTAATGTGTCTTCAATACTCTCAGCACACGAGAGTTCTTTCTAAGCTTTCTTTGATTTTGATAATTGTCGCTAACTTGAGTGGAACTCTTTGATTTGATATTTTGTTTCATGACAATTACAGCCATTTTCTGTTTTCCGTGATTATATTTCTATCTGTAGAAAGATATTGGTACAATATTTAATGATATTATATTTTGGTAAATGTTGAATTTTATTTGTGCCTGTATTGCAAGTTTGAATTCTTTTTTAAATTACATTAGTTGTATGTGTTGTATTGCAAGTTTGAATTCTTTTTTTAAATTACATTAGTTGTATGTGCTCTATTGCAAGTTTGAATTCTTTTTTAAATTACATTAGTTGTATATGCTGTTATTCGTGTAATTATGTAATTGGCTTTTATTTTCTGAAAACTTGGATCATTTTGTATATCTACTCCTTTAATTTTTTTATAAATTATAGATTTCATTTTTTTTTTCTATTTTGCTTTGAACTGTTTCAAGCAGTCTAAATATGCTGCCGTGTACTGCTTATACTGTATGCTATATCATCACATTAAATTGTGTAAATTAAATTACACAGTTGTGTCTGCTGTCTGTGATAAGTCATATTTTAATGATCCAGTATAAAATAAATGCAATTGTTGGTGTTTGGCACATCTTTTAGAGATGGAGTTCTAATAGAGTAAATACAGTATAGCACAAACAATACTGTTCCTTTCGATATGTACATTTTCATGTTCAGCGATGGTTTTCGACCATGGGTCATATGTTCACTTTAATAACTTTTTCTTTACTATTTGTGCTACTACTAGTGCTGATATTTGTCCATTTCATATAACTTTAATTCTCTATTTTTAGCCCTACTTTTATCATAGTAAGAGAATTCTGATTGT